GGAGCTAACAAAAAAGCGTGTAAGGGTTCGAGAATTCTCGAATCCAACCTCTAAACGTAATAAAAATTAGTAATTACTCGGTCTTCGTTTATCAAAAAAGAAAAAAATCTACCGATGCAAGAATAAGAATTCAAACTTACGTTAATAAATTTCGCGTTCGGACAATTAAAGCGTTAATCGATAAGATATCGAGAAGGCCATTGCCTCTTACCTCGCACACGACGTTGGGGATCCTCGAGGGATGAGTTTCTAATGTTCTGGCCGATCCTTGCCCGTCGTTTGCAGCGTGAAACACATTTATTCACGGGACGACGATGAGGCCGGTTTCGTCGAGGCGTGCCGATTGATTCTTCGATTGCCAATTTCATGCAGAAAGAAAGCTCGCGTCTTTCAGGATGCAGATTGGTTCAACGGTTCACAGTCTCTGCCCGATCATGTTCGCCTACACAAATAACGCACCACTTCGAAAGCACCTTCGCCGATCGACTGGCGACTAGACTCGTAGGGATCAGCGTTGCCTTACGCGAGAGTGATGCTCTCTCCAGCAACAGCCAGCGACAACTGGCGAGCAACGGCCAGCAACGAACCCTACCGTCTCTACCGCGCACCCTCTCGTCTATTGGTCGAGGCGTCAGGGAGGGGGAAGCGTTGGTGGTTGAAAATTCAAAATGTTCGCGCCTTGTCTTCGTGCAGGGATTCTCGTTTTTATTAACCTTAAATGTTATTATTGCTTAATTTAACATTGTAATCGAATAAAATGTACCTTTATATAAGTAAATATTTTTTACATTTACAAATATTTTACGTATATTCTTTCATGCTGTGGGTTAGAGTCATCAAAGCATTTTCCATGTTCTTTCTTTCGGCATCAGTTTTTAGAGTGTACCATATTTGCTCTAATTTCTTTTGCTGATACTTCTGGAAAATTCATACGCATACAATTAATCAAATTTACATTCTACAATCATATTTTGTAGTTACAATTGTACACACCAAAAAAATTAACTTACTTTGATAAAAAGAAAGCAATGCTTCATAGTTGCCCCCACATAGAGTATTTTTACTGATACCAAACGTCCTGCTATATCATTTATGAGTGGTATGGACTCTAATAGAAACCTGTGCGGGCCGTGTCTTGTTTTCACCAATGCTATCCTTGTGTGAGCGTTACAATACTTTGCTGAAAAATGTATATACTTTGAATTTAACATGAAGCTAAGAACATTATGATAGTACTAATTATATATTACCGCTAAAACCAGCTTTTATCGCAGCTACACCGAAATCACCATATAATTTCTGTACTATCTGGTTGATAGCAAAATGTAGAGCATTGATCTTCAGTGGGAAAGGCTTATTAGTCTTATCACCAAGGGTTATTTCAAACGTTATGTACCTGCAAATATATATTACAATCAATGACAATAAATAACATACGATAAAACCTCTAAGAAATTAATTTATTACCTGTTCTTAAAGCGTACCATGTTGTAGGTTATGTGACTCTCGTACAATTACGATGTTGCAAAAACTGTATTTAAGGTTAGAATTTGCGACAACGTATATAAAGAAAATATCATTTTACATACTTTGATAATATATTCCTGTTAAATTATGCATTTTGTACAATTTGACATGCAAAACATTACCACGTGCGTTACTTTCACTATTCGATGTGTAAGGTTTGACTAGGTCGTTGCCAAGACACTTGTGCACGTGCGTATTAAACCATGTGAACATATTTTACATTCTCTTATCCAACAATGAGATTTACAATCCTCGTTTCTAGTACATTCAGATTTTAATATTATTTTGTTTTCGTTTTTTGAAAGGTTAACATGACTTTGTATAAAATGTTTAAAAGTGTCGTTTGTGGTGTTGAAAGCCGTATAATGTTATTCAAGGTAACAGAATTTTTTATTACTCGTGTTTTCCTTGTACGGAATTACGTGCCTTCTGACTTATGTAATATTGTGATTTATTTCTAGCATTGATTCCATTGATCCGATGCTACTGTGCAACATGGAACGGATTATAGATTTCAATTCTTAAAGAATTATTAACATACAAGGATTTTTGAGGTAATGATACATTTTCTCTATACTATTTTTCCCCCTAATTCATTAACAATTTTACATAGGGTATAAACCGTTGCTTACAGTATTAGCAATCACATATTTCTTAACGCTATGTTATCTCAGGGTCATGTGATATTAAAAAGTCTATGATTACAGTAAAGCTCCTCTGATAACGATTATGTACTTCTAATTTATAGCTCACGATGATTCTGTTCAAAGCAGAACATTCAGTTGGCTTCTCCTGACAAAAGATATAAGACTCACAAGACTGTTTAAAGAGAAAGACATGGATTACTTTGTTGGTGTAGATGTGGGAACAGGAAGTGCTCGTGCTGCTTTGGTATCTTCTAAAGGGAAAATAATGAAGTTATCTACATGTCCAATTGAAATCTTTCACCCTGCTCCTAATTTCTATGAACAATCATCCGATAATATTTGGAGCGCAGTCTGTCATGTAGTAAAGGTATGACCTATAAAGAGTAAATAGTATTTACAGTCGTCATACATTTACTATTTTACTTTCAGTCAGTTGTAGCTGACATCTCTGCAGACAATGTGAAGGGTGTTGGGTTTGATGCTACTTGTTCATTGGTAGCAGTAGATGAAACAGGCTCACCGGTTACAGTGAGTCCAACAGGTACCCACATAAAAGTATTATATTATCTATCCTAAGTGTACCTTTGTATTATTGTAATTTTTATTGCAGGAGAAGACAAACAGAATGTTATACTATGGATGGATCACAGGGCACAGGAAGAAGCCGATTTCATAAATGCACAAGGTCATGAAATGCTCCAGTATGTCGGCGGAAAAGTGTCGTTGGAAATGGAGACTCCTAAAATGTTATGGTTAAAAAAAAATCTACCCTCGTCTTGGAATCGCGCAGCGTTACTTTTCGACCTGCCTGATTTCCTAACATGGAAAGCAACAGGTTCCGAATCAAGGTAATAAACTTATTGTATCCAAACGAATAACGCGAGCGACATGATACAACTTTCTAATCTGATTTCAGATCTCTCTGCTCTTTAGTATGTAAGTGGAATTATAGTGCTGATCCAGATGGTAACAACAAATGGAACGAAGAATTTTTCGACCAGATTCATTTGAAAGATCTTAAAAAAGATAATTGGAGAAAAATAGGTATAAATGATAGTTTTCCGTATTAGTTAAAGTTGCTTTCAAATAAATTCTAACGAACCGAACGAAAGTTATTTCGCTTGCATTATTCACTTTTTGATAAGTTGATTAACCTGTTTCGTGTTCATACAGATAATATGAAAATATTATTTTATTTTAATAAAGAGAACTATTAATACGAAGGTAATGATGTGAGAACTCCCGGGGATCCAGTTGGCCAGGGATTGTCAACAAAAGCTGCGTCTGAATTGGGACTCCTAAAAGGAACAGCAGTGGGTACTTCTCTTATTGATGCCCATGCTGGAGGACTCGGTATGATAGGCTGTTCTGTACCTGATGTATCGCTCAATTTACAAAGCAGATTAGGTATGAAAAACACTAACTAAATTACGTCTATGTAATTGAAGATACGAGAAAATTATAATCGCGTATTATTTTATTTTTTTATAGCGTTAATCTGTGGTACCTCAACCTGCCACATGATAGTCAATGAAAAGAAACTTTTCGTCAGTGGCGTTTGGGGACCATACTTCAGTGCCATGATCCCAGGATTATGGCTAAATGAAGGTGGCCAAAGCGCAACCGGAAAGTTACTCGATCACATAATTGACACACATCCCGCGACACCTGGAATTTTAAAAACTTTAAGTGGCAACAAGTGAGTTTACATACAGATCGACCACAGAACTAACATGACCAGTTTTTTTACTTTCTCTTATATAATTATTATCTAGACACATACAACAATACTTGTCTGAATTATTACAAAAAATGGCAGATCAAAGAGGTTTGAAAAATGTTTCGTATTTAACGAAAGATATTCACGTTTGGCCTGACTTTCATGGGAATCGCTCCCCTTTAGCCGATCCGAGTCTTAAAGGAATGGTAACGATACATCTTTTTTCATGAAAAAAAAAAAAAAAAAAAAAACAATTTTCGGATTTTTATCATTAAATATTGCGTAGATATCGGGATTATCTTTGTCGGTTGATCAAGAAAATCTGGCGTTATTGTATTTGGCAACAGTCCAAGCATTGACGGTACGAATCTTTATAGTACTTATGGGTTAAATATATTAACGCTACGGTAAAAAATAAATTAGACATTTCTCAACAGTATGGTACAAAGTACATTTTGGAAACATTGGAAGCTGCTGGTCATACCGTGGAGGAATTATTAGTTTGCGGCGGGCTAAGTCAAAACCCGTTGTTTATTCAAATACAAGCAGATGTATTAGGTCTGCCTGTACTTTGTCCCATTGAAAGGGAATCAGTATTGATAGGATCTGCAATTCTTGGATCTTACGCGGCTGGAAAATTTAATACTATCTACGATGCTATCAAAACAATGGGAGGATCTGCAAATATTGTTAAACCTAAAAGTGAATGTTACAAGTAAGCAGATACTTTTAATATTTTTTGTTTAAAAAATTTAAAGCACATGTCACCTCCCTTTTCTTGTTAGGTATCACATCCAGAAGTATCGAGTTTTCCGAAAAATGATACAACATCAGAAGGATTATAGAGAAATTATGAACGAAAATTTGTCGTAACTACCAACGCAAGTACTACATAGATACATTGTACGAAGAATCTCTCGATGAACGAATAGTGTAAAGAAGTACACTATTTATACAATTTTGTTATCAATTAAAATATATATTGTGTACACAGTTGATTATAAAGAAAATATTTTTGTTATGTATTTTACCTTTTATCTTTGTTTGTTATGAATAAACATGTACGCGAAACTATACGGAACAGTTCCTTATTCTACCATAACATATAAAATTCTATTGCTTTATTTGGTATTTAGGTATGAATTTGAAATTTACATATAATGTATTACAATGTTTTTGTTACAAATATTTTGGTACAAAACGCGTAATTTTACTTATTGCATATTTCTTGCTAAAATCGTTTAACAATACTCGTATAAACATATAATTATAACAATATTGCTAATTAATTGTTACAAAAATATTAAAAGTTTCTTAATTAAGACGTCCTTAATGAAAGATTTCCTTTTTTCAATATCATTATATAAACTTATAAAATGGTGTTATCAACTACTTAGGAATAAAAGGTACTAATATATAGTACACTTGGCGTTAATTTCGAATTACTTACGATGAGAAGAATATTTTCTTATCTTCCTAATTTGTAATATATCATTTTTCACCATATGAAATAACGACGTTATCACATAGTTCCCAAAAATTTTACAACCTTCGTATTCTATTCCTTTTTTAATGACGTGATTTAAGAAAAGAATGAAAATAATATTTGTATATCACAAAGTCGGTTTTATCACAAGGTATCCTGACACGATTTTTAACTTCAATGTCACCGATCCCCGTGAACTTCAATTGAAGTTGGAAAAATCCGACGATAATTAACTTACGCTATAGTTTATTTGCAGTATGTAATTTAAAATAATACTGGTATAAAGCTTTGGATAAAACTCTAGTTTTTTCGTTAAGTATTACAATTGTCGATAAGTATGTATAATATAAACTGACAATCATTCATGGACACCTATACCCTATTTATTCCTAATTTGAATGTTGGTACTAATTGCACCCCATGTATGTTTCGCTTTAATTTGATTAATTTCCTGCAATAATTTCTTTCGAACGAGTGACATTGTGCGCGTTTCAATTTCATTCAAATATTTCGAACTCCTTTAATTTTTAAGCAATTCAGTATTATATCAATATCATCGGCAGTCTTTTATACCTAGTTCTTCAATCTAAATTCATTAAAAAAAAGTGAAAAATCTTAAGCGAACAGTACCTTTCAAATGTGCTTTAACAGATTCAAGTTTCATATAATGATATAGCTCTAACTAGTCAACAATCGTCATAAACATTTAACTTCAAAATGATTTATATTCTGATATTTGGAAGACACAAAGTGCGTGTTTCAGTTAAACATTGAAACGTATTCTCTTCTTCATGAAGAAATTCATTATAGTATATATATATATATATATACTTGTTTTATAAGTATTATATTTTTTTCTTAATTTCAATAAGGCCATTGTGTGTAACAATTGCTATGCAACTTGTGCAATCGAGACGCGATAAAATTGCTAATTGGCAATCGTCACCCCTCTATTATTAAGTATTAATTCAAATCGCAATATTATTTTAGGAAACCTTAATTCGCGAAAAATAAATCATTCACTAACACATTGATATTGCTTGTAGTAACAGAAAAAACATACTAAAATTAGTGAAAATACTGAAAAAGTCAGTTCAAACGAAGCGGTAACATTCTGCAATATGATTAAGCATGTATTGAAATGCCATAGATGGAGACGTACCAAATCTCTGCCTCCACAAATGCTTCGATATTATACGTTGTCCCAGATTGTGAGTAGTTTCTTGAATGTCTTCGCAAATTTCGACGCTGGTTTGCCAAATTGTTTCTTAAAATGAAGATTAATTTTATGAAGAACAACACACCGAAAAACCAAAAAATTATATTGAAAAAAAATGTACAACATACATACCTAAATTACTAAGAAGTTTGCTTCTACCCGGCGGATCGAATTTCTGTAGGTGTTCAACGCTAATCACTTTATATTGTTTTAATTCTTGAAGCGACTCGTAACTGCAACAACGAGCTCGACTATTCGCGACAATATAACTACCTGGAGCACTGTGCTTCGAAATTTCTTTCAAGGCTTCTTTAACCATATTACATTTGTCAACATCTCCATGATATTTATCCACTTTGATTGGCTGAAATGAAATACATAATAGGTTAAAATCATTAAAAGTAGACTGAAACACTAATGGAGTATAGAGAGGAGAGATACCTCTGGTATTGCTTCAATCATATGTAACCACATCCGAGTTGGTATGGTATTTGCTTCTGCTATGCACACTATTGTATGAGAATTATTGTTACGCTTCTTGGCAGTAGTTATGTCTGAGGGGTTCTCGGTCATGTAGCCATTAGGAAATTCATCCACAATTAATATTGCACTTTGACCTCCCAAAACCCAATCTTCTGGATGAGTTGCTACATAATTCTCAGAAACTTCATCACACCTCTCATATACTTTCTTAACTACATGTTTCTTTATTTCTGAAATAGAATGAGGACATCTACAATTGCTTTTCTGGATATTATGTTAATAATTCAATGTAATTTTGTGTACCTAAATAATTGGCAGTGAGTTCGCTAGGTATCATTTGACACCACCCTAATATCAGTTGAAGGCACATTTTCAGGTCGCATTTGATTCCAAAGAAAAAGGAATTTTCTCTAATAGACTGCTTCCTCGTGCAGTTTGGACAAGACCAACTATATTTATCTACAATTCTAGCTTGATTCCAACCCAAACTTCTTCCCTTGCATTCGGGATGAGGACAGTTGGAAACAGTTCTGATTAAACTCATCTCTTTCAGCCAACCACATAGTTCTCCTTCGTGTCCTTGCTGTAGCATGGGACGTACCACCACATCAAAGTATCCTCCTTGATCCCCGAATCGTTCCAAGCATTGTCTGAAAGTGAATACACCGGTTAGAATAAAGAAATAAATGGATTTCTCAAACCTTTGTTTGGTAAATATGTACTAGAAATTACGAATTACGTAACGCGAAATAAAAAAAAGAAAAATAAAGTACGCGTTTAAACACACGTGAGCGAAGTAAACTTGGAACACCCATTGCACGTCAGAAGTGGGGGAGAAAAATCAATACTCCCCTGAGTTAAATATAACTTTCTTATTCTTAAAATAATGAAGGAAAAATTCATGAAATGTTAATTGTTGGAAGAATAGCAATCGATTGTTCCACGAATAAAGAAAGAACGTACGCGGTGTTATAAAACGAAGGATACGATAATAAATACCGATATCCTCGAGTAGCAGAAGCAACAAGTAAAATCAAATCGAAACTATTCTCGTGTGGAGCATTCGTTACCTCGCCTTAACTTTTGCGTTTTTCATCTTCAATGGGTAGAAGTCGCGCTCGACCGACACTAGATAGCTTCAAAGGAACAAATGAAAGCCTATAACATTTTTAAACCAACTAAAATGTAAACAAAAACGAGGAAACCAACAAGGAACCACAAAAGACCGCGGACAAACGTCGACCTCACGCATCCATCGCGCAGCGACTTGTACTGATTCGTCGAGATATGCGCTAACCACATAACGATGCATTCTGTACTCTGTCGATAAAAAAGATGCTAAATCAATTACTCAGTTCATAGATTTACTTGCTTTCCCATTTATAATTGGGAGCTGTGTCTGCCTGTACCGTCTCATTGTTGCTCATTGTCTGCCTTCGTATTTTAGTTTACGAGAACGATCGTCTTTCTTTTAAATGAGAGTTGGAGAGAGAGTCCTCGCTCAAATTTTATTGCTTAGTAGGGACCTTTTATTATCTTGGAAATAGAATCAGACAAGTTTTTAGAGTTCAAAATAAATTGTTATTATTCATTAAGCGCTCCTTGCAAGAAGCAACCCGATGCTCGTGATAATCACATCTTCACGTCCATTGAGGCGCGAGTAGTAATCAGCTTTTTATAATGTGAATTTTTTTAATATTCACTTGCTCCCTATTCCATATATAAACATTAATTCATTACCCTCTAGTATATATCGAAATAAAGAAATCTGTTTCGATTAAATACCTTTTGTATTTCATTTTGTTTTCATTTTTTTTTTCTTTTTTTTATTATGAACATGTTTTACAAAGCAAAATTGTGTAATGGTGGAAATGGTGGATATCGGTGGAGGCTGGAAACTACAGAATCAGTGTTGGTGGGCCACAATTCAACAAGATTTCCAGAAAAGTGAGTGCGGGTAAAGGGGGGCATCGGCACAGTAATATAAAAAGTACTGTTCAAGAGACAGCATGAAGGATTAGGCCGGCACATTCATTCAACAACTTTTTTTCTTTTTTTCTTTAGATACACACAAGTACACTGCACTTTCATATGTATGCTTTTTAAAACGATGAACATACGATTCGTGTTTTCCTCTTTAAATGTTTTTACTCCACCTGAATTTTATTGTGTCCATTACTCAATCTATGCTTATCGAGAAGTCTAACCTCGATCAGAACTGATCAATTTTGTACATTTCTTTCTTTTGTTTGCTCGATTAGTCCCGTTATCGAAATAAAAATAAATCTTTTCGCGTCTGCACGTTACTTGCCGCTTACGTCCTTAATGTAATAGGAAAGAACGCTGAATACTTTTGTTATTTAAAATATGTATTCCCAAAGGGTAAATAAAAGGTTTCCAATTTCGATGTCTACAAGGTATAAACGTCGAGTAAATTTTTTGTACATAGGAAAGTAACGAAGGGGTAGCACGAGAAAGCCGCCTAAGAGTCAGTAAAATAGTTCAATTCACGCAAGCTATCTTCGTGATACGATACCCGATGGAAAATTAATTGTATCAGAATGCCGTTGTGTCTTGCCGTTGCGACACATACTGGTCTACCGTGAAAAATGATGGATCGATATCAAACGTTGAATTTTTGTTTTCTTTGTTTAATGATCGATGAAAAATCAATCGTACATTCGAGCTTCGAGAGAGCGAACCAACGGGCGTAGGTTTCGCTTCGGTAGTAGTGATCCACGATGTCACACTGAACTCTATTTAATATTTACAAATGAGATCGATTATTAAAAAGTAATGAGCAATTACCTTGTTCCGTATTTTTTTTTTTTTGTTTTAAACTCTTTTGTTTCGTTTACTTTTAATATATCATAGAGCGTGCATAGGAAGGCGCAGTCCAAATGATTTTTTCACAACAAAAAAATATTATTCAGTCATACCACACCCTGCGAGAGCCGACGAAAACGTGAACATGTTAGAATACGGTACGTTTCTTGTTACTTTTTTTTTTTTGTTGTTTTCTTTTTTTACTAACAGTAATGGCGACTGGCAGACAAACAGACAGTTTGGCAGGCATGGTGAACATAAAATCAAACATGTACACGCGACACGAGTAACCAGACCTTTACCTTTCTATCCTCTCTCTCACTCTCACTCTCTTCATCTTTCAATATCATCACTCTCTTACGTATTCCTTAGTATCTATGTCCATGAGGTCCTATAATATTGTAACATAGGCTTTAGTACGCTATATCGTAAGCTATACTAAAAACTACCACCGCTGCGTCGCCAACTACACGCGGCGCAGCAATTCTTAATTAATATTAGGAATATCGGCAGTGAAATTCCAATGATAGACGCGGCAGGCAGGCAGTCAGTCCAGCAAAGTCTGTGGCACTTGCGCTGCTCCGGTGCATAACGGATTAAAACTGATCGATCGGGGTGCCCCGCGCGATAATTTTTACCATTTATCGTCGACATTTCGCGGGTAAACGTATTGCGAGGATGAAATGAATTGAAAAATTAGGTGGGGCACCCCACTGTTCGAACGGACCGATCTCTCTTCCTCATCTTCTCCACCATGGCACCTTCATCGTCATCATATTCACCGTCGCCTCTTAACGACATCTCGGTCTTATACTCTATCGTTTCTTTGTTATACATACTTCTTTTTTTTTTTTCGTTTTGTGTTTTGTGTTTTTCCTTTCTTTTTTGAAAAATAATTTCTTTACAATACTCCTTCGTATGTCCGATCCGCGACGCAGCGGATCGCCGGTGTCATCGTTTGTTGTTCGATGAGTCGATCGGAAAGAACGAAAAACAACGTCGAATTGTCCGAAACATAAAAAGTTACTAAGATTACAAATCACAAATGAAATCACAGACTTTCGTTGGTGGTTTGACAGAGGGGAGGGGGCCGCACATTGCAATTAGAACAACATTGTAGGCGTATCGTCGTCGTCGTCGTCGTCGTCGTCGTCGAGGAAAGTTCGATGGGTATCTCTGCATCGGGGCGAACCTCCGTTGTCCTTCCCCTGGACGATTTATTCCCATCCATTCTCCTTGATCATGTGAGCAAGCTCGATTATAAACTTGCCCTCTTTATACTTCTGACTCGACTCGAACGCGTGCTCCTGAAACATTTCACGGGTAGCCATTAGCACACGCGCTGGCTGGTTTTTCCTGTTATTTTCGCTATTTCCGCGCGGTATATCTCGATTAAAACAGCAGAAACTCACGTATTTCCACCCGAGGGTGGTCTTGCAACATTCGCAGTAAATATCAGCGACGGCATGAAGCCCAGTCAACAGAACTCGCTCCTCCGCAGGACCGCAGCCCACGTTCACTCTAAAATAACAAAGAAAAACGATATCTTTACCGTGGCCTGTCGCGTACACGTTTCTTCTATCGCACGGATTGCAAACAAATCCCCGCCCCGGTTTCCGCGAGCCAACTTGTTCCGAGAAACTCGCGCAATTCACCTCGAGTGCCGTAGGTCAGCGAATGTTTACCTTTACTAATCTGTAACGTCGATGCTTTCGCGTCCGTGTACGCCGGTGTACTTTCTATATTATTAACTCTTTGCACTCGAGGCCCATTTTTTTTTTTTTTTCTGCTATCTGCCAGCAACTCGAGATTCTATCGTCACGAATGTTAAGCTTAGATCGACTACTCGAGTGAGACATCTAATTTCAGATTTGAAAGTCGGCTCACCTTTGCCTCAACGACGATCGTTTTATCGACACTTCGAGTTCCGATGAAATTAAACCTAAAGGAAACCTAGCGTGGTTTGACCAAAGGGTTGATCTGTGCGTGGCGGATAGATTTATGTGCGCGCATAAAAAAAAAAAAAAAAAAAAAAAACACACAACGTGACGAGTCGTTCGGGTAAAATAACGCGGCCTAGTTTCCACGACAATTCGATCCCGGGCTGCGACGGCAGGCGTTAGCATACTTACACGGAATTAAAGAGATAGGCACGACCTTGACTGCCCTGGAAGGACTGCAATCGAAAAGGAGAAAAAAAACCGGTGTTAGTGTTGCGTTACGAGTGAACACCTCGAGAACGCGGCCGTACGAACGTACAGCTCGACGAGCGGAAGAAGCGAATGCGAGAAGTCAGTCCGTTACCTGATCTATCACGGCTCACCTTAGAGATGAGTTCGTCGTGGTTGGCGAGGTGAGCACGGCAGTGAATGCACGAGTAAGTGCGGTGACACGAGGGCAGGTATGCTTGAAAAGTTTTGACCATGATGGCGTGTCCAAGCAAGCAAAGAGACCTCTCCTCTCGCCCTTGTCCGTCGTCTTCCTTTTTTTTTTTTTCTTTTGCCTCTTTTCCCTTTGTAGTCGTCGTCGTCGCTGTCGTCGATTCTCCTCCTTCTCGCTTATCAAGTGTCGTCGAGACCCTTTCCTCCCGTGTGTGGCAAACGTCTGGCCGTTAACCAGCGGCGATTATTGAATTGAATTTCTTCCAATCGCGGGGTGGTGGTGCAATAGTGGCCCCGTTCACCGCCGCTTCGTACTCCGATCAGCTGTTGAGCTGGTTCAGACAGCGCCGGTTCGGGGACACCTGTGAAACCGATCGAAATTTCTCTCGTTAGCACTCGATCCGACTCGACGACAATCGATATACGATTTAACGGAACTTCGCCGTTCGAATATTCCACCGACCCGCGAAACGCCGTTTACAGAATCCAGCCCAAGGTCGAAACAAACAAACAAACAAACAAAAAAAAAACGAAAAAAAAAAATAAGAGTTTTATCTACCGATCTATGGATCACGGTGGGCCCACACCGCCGTCTGTTCGGTATCGGGGTGCGAGCAGCGAAGCTGAACAGTCGCGACTACGAAAAAAGTTGCAGCAGCAAACGTGTTCGACATTACCCACTCGCACGCCCACGACGACGACCACTTCTCTGGGATCGTCGTCGTCCGATCTAACGCTCCGACGCTCAATCTGATCGCGAATCTCCTGAAGGAGATGACGTCAAGAGGAATTCGTTGGAGCGAACCAAGATCGCCGAGGCATCGCGGAATGGACGCGCGCGAGACGGATAAATAACAGAGACGTCTTACAAAAGAGACTCGTGTCGGCCGCGATATCAAAATATTTTCAACTCCCCCTGGGATCTTCCTCGACCTCGTCGCTCGCTTACAGGGCGTCCGGAGATTGCGATATCGACGTTGAAATTTATTTGCAAACACCGCGTTCGACTCCGTGCGTATTACATTAACCTCTTGGGGGATATTTGTACGCGTGTGTGTACGTTTGTTTTCATATTGTTGAGTTTCGGCGTAACGAGATAACGAGAACTTAAATATTAGGGGGACCAGAAAGTAACGTCGTATCTTTTACATTAAATTCAAGCAAATAAATTTATAACAAGTTTTTTTATTTTTTATTAATTATGTAATCGCCCTCGTTATCGACAACCATTTTGTTATCTAGTGCGCAAATTTTCAATATCTGATCGATACAAATCTCCTGGTATACAACGAGCTGATATAATGGTTAACAAGTATCGACAATCACAGAAACGACATTACCTTCTGGTCCCCCTAATAAATAACAATTCACTTTATTTGTACAATAGAAATGTAATTGGAATGTAGTTTCGGAACGTCTGCTCTCAATGCTCTCGAAATTGTACAAATAAAGTTCATTGTTATTTATTTAACTTCTCGTTATGACGAAACTCAACCATATTGAAGTAAGACGGCATATTTGTACGTATAACAGATAAAAATTACTTTGGTTTCTATGCACTGTGCAAATCTATACAAATCGTTTATTTATCGTCCCCCGTTTGGCCCGTCAATAAAAGTCTCCCCGCGTGTTTCACTCGAGGAAGCGAATGTGCATCGTTCGAATGCGAATTCCTACCGCGAGGGACCGGAAGCATCGTCTGCGGATTAAAAATAAGACGAATATTGGCCCCAGCGCGTCCTTCTCGGAATCCGTTCTCGTCGCTCGCTCGCTATTTACCCGCTATCGGATGTATTTATTCCGCAACTATCGGTTCCGAGTTATTTATAAAGACCTGTTAAATAACGCCGCCGCCGAGCGTCAAACAGTCCGTCGCTTCGTTACTAAAGAGAAGAAAAAAAAAAAAAGAAAGAAAAGGAATCCCCGCCATTTGTACGAACCGAAGGAGGAGAGAAGAGATAAGACACAGGGAGGAGAGGGTGCGGATCTAGAAAATGGCGTAGCGACGGAGCAGAAGCCACATGGAACGTTTTGAAACGCAATTAGCATCGATGTTACTCTCTCCATATCGAGCGACGCCACGTGCTGACGCGCGTTCAAACAAAGAAACGAGACAAGGTCTTTATTATGATGCGGCTCGAAAGAGGTTTCTTCTTTATACGAATAGAGGAAGCGAGGTATTCCGTAGCGAGGTCGTCCACCTCCTTGTAACATTGTTCATAACCTCGATATTTACGCTTTTTCCCCGGAAACTTTTCACCGCTCCAATTACCTTGCTCGTGAATACGAAACGATTCGTGAATATTCTCTTACGCTACGTATTAGGTGTTGACATCAATTCCGTGCCTCTGTATTCGATCATTCGTAACTGTACTACGCCCCGATGGTTACAGAGTGCCGTCTCGAAACGATTTACAAAAACATCGGGAAGAAAAAACACAAACATCAACGGTACGATTGAGATCACGGCCAAGGAATGAAATATATCATTCATTAATATGAATGAATGACTATATAATTGTAATCATCTTGTGTCGAACGTGCGACGCATGTATACCGGAGTCACGTTGTGACATGTGTACGTCCGCGAAGGAGAGACAGCGTCTTTGTTTTGATACGCCGTAGAAGGAATAAACGGTATGCTCTTTACAAGAATGGAAGAAGAACGGCAACCTCGTCTCGTTCGAATTTAGTCGCCAGACGTTTTTGCGGCTTTATCCCCACCCCCCCTGCTGCCCCGTCCCCCCTCGACCCGTAGATCGTTTCCATCCGCTACGTGTGCCATGTCCTTTTCTTTGTCCGTCTTCCGTCTTCGTTCCTTTCCAACTCGGATCAATCGAAACAATGATTCGCGACGGCCTTGCGATAACGGCGCTACTTTGCTTTCCAAGCTTATGGCAGCGCGGAATTAGCACTTCGAGTGCCAAGCGTGTTTTCCGTTTCATTATCTCTGACACGTGCAAGTCACTTCGGTGACAATTAAAAGAAACAAAAAAAAAAAAAGAGAGAGAGAGAGAGAAAGGAACTTAGCAGCACGCGAGAACGTTTCGCTAGGGATTTCCTGCGTGCGATTACGAATTTCTTGTTCAACTTTTCGCGTTCGTGGTTTGCATTCGGTATAACACGGCAGAAAGTAAATCGACGGAACGGTTCAATCTACGTCGTCTTTTTAACGCGTCGGGGCTCCAATCAGTCTGCCAGACCAAACGCGCGCACGCATCGCAGACGAAGACTGCTATATTCGCGCATACATTTCGGACTCCCATTGTTTCGTGCCTTCGAAATGAAATGGGGAAAACCATAGAGATATTGCAGGTAGGGGGAGCGCCGAACTTATGGATGTATTACGGTTTAAACGAGATAGGAAACCGCGGTACCCTTTGTTTACCGACGCAGGCAGACGAGTGCATGGTTGCACTTATCGACGGGCCTACGCAGGGCCGTCTTAACGGCATCGTGGGGCCTGCGTCGGGGCCCTTGTTCAATTTATTTCGTTTAAACATCGCAGACTAAGGAAACAAGGGACCCAACCGCCACCATAAATAATGAAATTAATTATTTTAGTGAATAAATCCTCTACGAATGTTTTCAATCTTGCATTAACTAGAATAGGGGTTCCTCGGGCTCCTGGCTGCCGAACCGATTCAGAGTCTGCAGGCTTAAAATTTTGTCTCGAAACGATCGGAGACTACAGAATCTAACATTTGTCGTATTATTTATTTTTGTATTCTCATAAAAATTTAGAAATTCTATCCTAGTTGGATTTCGTCAACACTTAGCTTTTAAAATGAATTGTTAAAGTTCCTTAGCGAAAAGCTCTGTCGCCCATATATGGATGGCGACCAACGCGTTAAGAATGTACCTCTCTACTCCAGAAATTGATATTCATTTCACTGGAAACATTTCTCAGTCTCCGTATATCCTTGAACGCAACGACTGCATTCAAGCCCCGTGCAAAATCGCGGCAGCAGCCAGTTCGTCGGCCTGCGAATCCTCGGAAAGAAGTTTCCCGACGAATCGTCGGGAACAAAGAGACGGAACGTCCGAGTCAATACACGGCCCAAGGTCATTGCTACCCATCGCCGACGCATCCTCGGTATTTCCGATTTTCTTCTCGTCTTTTTTTTTTCCGGCTCGTGCAGCCTGCGCGCGCCTACCTCGCCAATGAATAAGACACGAAGAATTCGACGAAAGTCCTGTCGCTCTTTGTTTTTCCACCTGGTGCTCGTGCACGACAGGCGTCGTCGTACATCCGCTCCAGACGAGACGCGCAACCAGCCAATGTCGCTCAATGCAAATGGAAACGTGTATAAACGAACGGTAGGTGGCTCAAGAGATGTTCTTTCCATTCGAAACCAAAGCGAACAGAGTTTCGACGAGCCACCTGTTTACATCGAAAGAACGTCTTTACGGATCTTCGTAAAAAACGGTTATACAAATATACGCCAATGTGTAAAAGGCACTTGGTTGGTTGGAATATAATACTTAAGTTTGAGAGAAAAAAAGGAACTTGTGCACAGTCGATACACGTTTCTAACCTATGCCAGCGACATCTTTTTTTAAGGGATATATTCTACCTACCTCTACGTTACGAGTAAAACGTTGGTAAGGAAGCGAAATACCGTGACAGATTTTTGGTGGAGCTTTGTATTCAAAGCAATCGAAAACAGTGATACCTACATGGGTTCTTATCTGTTTGCCGAGGTTTTATCGCGGACCGTGAATTTCTCACGACCCTGAACCTGTCGAGTCAGGAAGAAAAATGAATCCCCATTTCGTGTTACGATAAGATAATCGACCGTGGGTTCGTCGATATTGACGCAGGGAAGGAACGTTGACATCCGAATTTCGGTAGACATTAGATAAAGTGACAAATTTGATACTACTTACATGGTCGAACAAAAATATCGAAAGAGAAAAACAACCACAGATGAATTCAGGGTTAATACGCAAAAAAAAAAGAAGAAAGAATCAGATACGAGAGATCGAGTGTCGATTAAAATTTTGTTATGAACAAATTTGTGACTAACAGAAAATTAACAAGCTCGATACCCGTTTGTATCTTATCGATCTCTATCTAAGAGAAATACTTTGTCTCGGTCGACCTTAGCGTCAATGCCGCACGACGAACATTCTCGCAAGATTACGTATTGACGACGATCGTATAAACTAAGGTTATTAATTGCTCAATCGAGTTCGCTAAAGAGAAGACTTCTGATTCGATATAAATAACGTAGATAAAACGCCATTCGAAATAACGACGTTCGACGAAGCTTTCCATCGACGTTATTGCACAATCTTCCCATGGAGGGCTGAATCGACGCGGAAGGTAACGATGTTAAACGGAAATCTCGTTATCCCG